ATAATGAATAAAATTTGAACCATTACGCCTTTTACCCAATATTTATGATTAAAGAAGAGTTCTACGATGTTGAAAACATCCGTTAAGGAGACACACACTGATGTTGTTATTATCCACTCCTTGTTTTTTTAACCAAATTGGAAGTTTGCATGCCAGCCATCCTGGACCAATCCTGAGGGCCATTCTCCTGGTCTGTGTCCCACCCCTTTCGATTTGGCTGTCCCTGCAGGACTGTTGTTAGAGAAAGGAAAACCTCAGGTCAGGAGGGCCATAGTTGAGAAGGGAGAGGTCCTTCTCCAAGAAGAGGGACCTTAATATCCAACCCCAATGCAACTCATCCAGCCAACTCAAACCCAGGAGGAGAAGGGGGGGTAGCAGCAAAATGATCCATAAAATTAGTGCCCCCTACCCCACTCCAAATATAATTAACCTGGATTTGTTTTTATCATTTTAATGGTTTTCTAGCTTTTCCTGCTTTGAATTCTCTGTTCTTATTTGTTCTAAGGCTCTTCTATTGCAAGTCGGGTATGTGAGATAGGTCAATTTCTATAGAAACCCCTCCCTCCAAAGCAATAAAGGAATAAGCCCTCCAATCTCCAACCTCCTGGCCTTCTCCAATTGGCCACCCTCCAGGTGTGGGGGCGCTACAATTCTGTACTCTTCCCAGCCAGTAGAAAGAATTATGTTGGGGTGATGGGAACTGTAGTCCAACCATCCCCCAGGAGTGCAGGGCTCTAGATTTGAGCCTCGCCTACAAACATCGCCCACCCTGGAGGAAAGGAAGACCCCCATACACACACACACACACACACACACCTCTCCTGCTTGCGGTATTTCCCCACCTTGGCCAATTTCTCTTGGTCTCCTTCCCAGGCCTTCTCCTCTGGGCCCATGGTGGCCAGGGGGTCGTAGCTGGGTGACTGCAGAGGCATCTCTGAGGAGAGAGGAGAGACCCCCGCCCCGGTTTTCCTTTCCCCTTTCCCCTCTCCCTTCCCCTTTCACCCTTCCCCTTTCTTTCCCCCTGCCCTTCCCTTTCCTCTTCCTCTTTTCTCCTTCCCTCTTTCCTCTCCCCTTTTCCTTCCCCCTTCCCCCTCCTCTTTTCTTTCCCTCTTCCCTCTTCCCTTCCCCCTTCCTCTTTTCCCCTTCCCTCTTTCCTCTCCCCCTTCCCTTTCCCTTCCCCTTCCCCCTCCTCTTTGCTTTCCCTCTTCCCTTCCCCCTTCCTCTTTTCCCCTTTCCCCGGCTGCTCCTTGCCTTCCCTTCTTCCCTTTCTTTTCCTCTCCTCTCCTCTCCTCTCCTTTCCTCTCTCCTTTCTCCTTCTTTTTCTCCTCCTTTTTTCCCCTCCTGCCTTCAGAAGCCGCCGCCTGCTCGCTCGCTCGTTCGCTCGGATCTTAGCAACCGACCAAGCTCCGCGGACGGCCGCGCGGCGGCGGCGGCGGCGGCGGCGATTTCGGGGCTTCCAGTAACTTTAGGCGAAGTTGGGACCGCGAAGGGAGTGGGGGGTGGGCTGCGAGTCGCTTCATCTTGACCTTCCGAGGCGGAAAGGAACGGAACCAACGACGCTTTGCAAAGCCAAGGCCGAGCCCCCCGGGGGGGGGGCCCGCCCTGGGCGGGGGGGGGGGCGGTCGCGGGGCTCCTTCCTTTGAGGTCTTCTTTTAATCCACCCGATTTCGGCTTCAATCAATCAATCAGAATAGAGCTGGAAGGGATCTTCGAGGTCTTCTAGTCCAGCCCCCCTGCTCCAGCTCCAGCGGGGTCTCTATATAGAGGGAGGTTATCCAGCCAGCAAAGAGAGGGGGGCTATTAAAAAGAGGGACCCCCTTGGGCCAGGCAGGTGCCAAAGGTAAGGATTGCCATGGATTTAATATGTGCCAATCAACCCATTGTGCCATCCGGGTTGCTAGCTCTTAAAAGCAGACCTTGACTTACGACCACAATTGGGCAGTCCTTGACTTACGACCACAATTGGGCAATCCTTGACTTACGACCACAATTGGGATAAGCGTTTCTGTTGCTAAGCAAGGCCCTGGACAAGGGTACCAGCTCCCATTTTACAACCTTTTTCGTCTGGTGGTTCAAATGAAATCACTGCCATCGTTAGATGAATCATCTATACAGGTAAACCCTCGACTTAACAATCGTTCAATGGTTGTTGTTTTTTTGAATAAACTTTATTAATCTTTTATAATTTGAAAAAGACAAACAACAACAAAATAAATCTTAACAATCGTTCGTTTAGTGGCCGTTTCCGGTTACAACGGCAGTGAAAAATAGAATTCTTTCTTGGCTAAGTGTGGTTGGACACACAAGGAATTTGTCTTGGTGCAAATGCTCTCAGTGTACATCAAAGAAAAGATACATTCGTCAAGAGTCAAGAATCATCAGGTACAACACTTAATAGTAGTCATAGGGTACATTAAGCAATCAAATCATACTAGGAAACAGTCAATATAAATCGTAAGGATACAAGTGACAAAGTTACAGTCCTACAGTCACAAGAGGGAGGGGATGGGTGATAAGGAGTGATGAGAAGATTAATAGTAATAGTAGTGCAGACTTTGTAAATAGTTGGACAGTGTTGAGGGAATTATTTGTTTAGCAGAGTGATGGCATTGGGGGAAAAACTGTCCTTGTGTCTAGTTGTTCTGGTGTGCATAGCGTCGTTTTGAGGGAAGGAGTTGAAACAGTTTATGTCGGGATGTGAGGGGTCTGTAGATATTTTCACAGCCCTCTTTTTGACTCGTGCAGTATTCAGGTCCTCGATGGAAGGGAGGTTGGTATAACTTTTTTCTGCAGTCCTAATTATCCTCTGAAGCCTTGTCTGAAAGAAATTAGGACTGCAGAAAAAAACAAGTGACCGACGACTGTTTTTCACACTTAATGACCCAGGGCAGCATTTCCCCATGGTCGCGCGAATCCAAATTCAGGCCCAGTGCCCGCTGCCTCGCATTTATGATGGTTACAATGTCCCAGGCTCACGGATTCCCCCTTTTTGCGACCTTCTGAGAAGCCAGTGTCAATCCGGGAAGCCGGACTCACTTAATAACCGTGTGAGTAAGCTAACAACCAGAGACATTTACTTAACAACGGTGGCCAGAACGGTCATCAAATGGAGCAAAGCTCTTTTTTTTTAACAGACGTCTTGCTTAGCAACAGCAAATTTTGGGCTCTGCTGTGTTTGTAAGTTGAAGACCACCTATATAAAGAGTCTCCGGGAATGTGACAAAAGCAGCAAGGGATAAATTTGAGGGCGAAACTTTGGGAAAAGAAAATTAATCCGAGGCCTCCATGGGCACCCCGGAATTGGGTCAGTGAACACAAATTGCAGATGGTAGTTCAAAGGGCCCCAAAGACTGGCTCTTTGCCCAGCCCTTTGGCAAGGATGATTAATGCCCTCTTTTCTTCTTTGTTCCCCACAGAGTTTGTTTTCTCTGACATCTTTGTTTTGTGTTGTTTTTGTGTTCCCATCCTGCCGGAACCGGATCTGGAATTATCTAGGAGACGTTAAGGTGAGACGCTCCTTAGATCTGGAATTGGCTGGGTTTTCACAGAACGTAGGAAGAACACTTTTCCACATCGGCTGTTCAAAGAGAGCGTAGGTTGTATCGCTATTGGGGGTTTCCGGACGGCTCTCTTTGCCCAAAATGCACAATGCCATTCAGTTGTTTTAGGGGGGGGGGTCAATGTTTTGTCCTCCTTTTATTTGGTACCGTTGAGACCTTTGAACGATGGTGCTGGAGGAGGCTCCTGCAAGTCCCTTGGACTGCAAGGTGATTGGGATGACCTTGCAACAAAGTCACAAAAACAGGTGAAGTCCCTTTAATTCCTTCAATTTGGCTTCAAAGGTCCAAGTATCACTGACGGGAGAAAAAAACTCACCCACAAACAGTTGCGAAAAGGAAGAAATTTCGTTCAAACTCAAAATACATATAAATTATAAATAGAAAAAACAACACAAACCACACTGAAGCAATTAATGAGACAAGGCAGGATAAGGGCTTGAAGACGTCCACAGATATCAAAATGCACACACTGGGAAGGACGCCAGATCTCAGATAAGAACCGACAAATTATTTCATGCTTTGCTTCCAGCACTGGCCCATGCGTAGTTTGTCCTTTTAAACAGTCCTCACAGCTGCAGCCCATGAAGGGGATCAAGGCCCTTTCCTCCCCCATAGACCACGCCATTCACGTTTCTCCCTTATCCGCTCCTCCCTGCGTGCCCTTTGATGAAGAGGGGATGGGCCTGGGTCTTTCTCTGAATGCCCAGCCAGCCTGTGCCCTTCCCGTTTCCTCCACAACCTCCGGAACCACACTCCTACTTCCTGTCAGCTGTTCCTCCTCTCTCTCAGAGTCAGATTCTAACAGGGCATGGACAGCGATCCAACCGGACAGTCTTAGAAGAGATCAACCCTGACTGCTCTTTCAGAAGGCCAGATCCTGAAGATGAAACTCAAAGACTTTGGCCACCTCATGAGAAGAAAGGACTCACTGGAGAAGAAGAGCTGGGAAAAATTGAGGGCAATAGAAGAAGGGGACGACAGAGAAGGAGGGAGCTGGATGGAGTCACTGAAGCAGCCGGCGTGAGCTTAAATGTACTCCAGAAGCTAGTAGAGGCCAGGAAGGCCTGGTGGAACGTTGTCCATGGAGTCGCGATGGGTCAGACATGACTTCACAACTAACAACGAATCTTCTTGGGCATTCAATGGATGAACATTTCTGCTGGGACCTCTGGCTCAGCAAAGCAGCTGTGCACCCCAACCAATAGCCACTCACATCCGCCAAACTCTGAATGGGAAAACTCGCTGCAGCCAACTAGCCACAGCCAACTGACCATGGCAAAATTACTATATGGCCAACTTGCTGTGGGACAACTCATCACAGCCAAGAAGAGTTCGTTAGTTTGCTCACTCCAACATATTCTAAAAAGGATCCCTCTCACCTCTACCTGCAGCTATGAAGGAGTTGTGAGTTCAGCTCTCTCAACAAAATATTTGACAATGTTGCGTGGAAGATCAGTAAACGCAGTTTATTTAAAATTTTCTCGTGCTTTTTATCATTAAAATGCAGCATTTTCATTGTCTCTCGCGGAATAGAATCTTTTGCACTGTGCAGAATTTTGGTTTTTTCTTTTTAAACTTCAAAATTAAAAGAAATAAACAAATCCAAGACAAATGCTGTATTTACAGGACATTAACAATGCTTTATATAGATGATCTGCCATCATAGAGGAGATCTGTTTTGAGTCCAGAAATGCAACCCAAGCTACCACTTTACAAGTGGAAAATTCTTCATCCTAAAATAAACAGAGGAATAAAGAGAAGAAATAAATATATTTTAGTTAATAAAATAATTTCAATTAAAAAAAACACCAAACTGGAAACCAAACTACAACCTTTCTATCAATTATTAAAAGGCATTTAAATCCTAAATGTAAACCTTAATTATTTTTCAATGAGCAATTTAAAAATGTCAACCATAATTACATATTGACAGTTTATTTATCTATTTATTAGATTTATTTGCTGGTCATTTTGCTTCTCTAAATAACCTGAATGCCTATAGCACTCTGCTTTCAACTGATTATCATTCCAAGTTTGCTGAAAAGTTTAGACACCACCAACTGATTTGATTATCGTTGAAAGAATGAAAAAAAAGATTGTCTCATTAAAGCCAAATGACCAACCCAAAAAAGAAGAGATCATATAATTCACATGAGAGAACAAAAGTTAAAAATTCATCTAATAATAATAATGTTTAAAACATTTTACTCCCTTAAATGGTTTGTTTTAGGCTGCCACTTTATATGCAATTAACTCAGAATCAATCCCCCAAGGAAATGAAATAATCAAATCAGGTAGATTTGATACCATTAGGATGATCTTGGAACATAATATTATATATAAGAATTCCATCTCCCTGCTCTGATCAATTTCAAGCAAATTTCAAGGATCTGTAGCTTGTCTTCAGACTGCAAGCCAGATTGGCATCTTCTTGGCAATTCCACTGTATTCCCCAGTGCTTTAAATTACCTTCCTACATTAATGGGAGTTGAATCAGCAGTGTACCGACAACTCCATAATGTTCAACCTCGGGAACAGTATGATCTCCAGCGGGGAATCAAAAAATATTACGATGGCAATCATGGCAGCATTAATTTTTACACCGTGCACTGGACACCAGGATGACTGAAGTCCTGACCCTTGATAAATCCTTCATCTGCACTGCTGTGACCTCCACTTTTTAAAGCACTCTAGCAGATGCCACTGAGTTTTAAGATAAACTAGCTCGATACCCGTGCTTCGCTTCGAAACGATGTGGTCGGGCTTAGTTTTTGGGGAGGAAAATAAGGGGGGGAGGGAATTCTGCCTCTGCCTACCAGCATCCATCGGTATTCATCTGGCTAGCGTCCTGTCAGAGTGTGAGAGACTTGAGGGCTGTTTGGAAACTGAAACAGTATTTGCTGTGTGAGCAAGAAGGAGACAGCAAGGAGCCTGGGCGTGGCTTAGCTCAGCTGTTCTGTACTAAAGCTGGTTGCTGCTGTGAAACTAAAACTGAAACTCCTCTGCTTGTATTTTGCATTTGGAAGAGATTTCTTTTCAGGTGGGGAGGGGGAGTAGAACTCCTCAGCCTCAGAGCGTGTTAATAATAATAATAATATAGGAAATACCAATGCTCTGATGGTCATTTTGAAAAATCCTTTCTTAGTGAGCACCTAGAAGCCAAGAGGAACATAGGTGCCAAATTTCAAGTTTGTAGGCTTTACAGTTCTGGAGATTTTGTGATGATGCGTGAGTGATATTTCGCTTTTATATAGAGAGATTAAAAAGTTGCTCATGGAATATGAGCCAGGTTTTCTGGAGATTTTGATCATCATGGCTCTGTCTTAGATAACCATCCATGTGGCAAGACACTAGTCACATGTCGGAGTAAACCATAAAAGTGATGATTAGGTTGGGCTTCAGTGTGATGAGTAAACCCAGATGCACCCTGTTTTGAATTAGAATTTCCAGGTATGAGCACAAAAAAGCATTGCCATTTCTTTCTCCCTTTTTGGTAGAAAGCAGCATCAGGGAACTCTTTTCCCCCGCTTAAAGCTACTTTTCCGAAATGTAGGCAAACTGGAGAGAGAGAGAGGAAAGAGATGAGTGTTTCTCAACCACGGCCACTTCAAAGTTCCGTAGACTTCAACTCCCAGAATTCAAAAAAAGTTTACGTGGCCAAGGTTGAGAAACATTTAGGTCTTGTGGCTCCAGAATCCAGCCGACCATTCAGAAGATAAAAACGATGTAGAAACAATAGGCACTTTTTCTTTTATGCTTCCTTTTTTAAAAAAAAAAAAGATGTCCATCTGCATTGCACTAGAAATATTGACTCTCTTGGCCTGCTCACCTTCTTAAAAGTTCCTGGGGTGATATATTCGTCTTTCCTTCCTCGCTGCTGCTGTCTCTGCTCTCAGCTGTGTCTGAGCTGCTGTTCTTCTCGGATTTCTTGTTCTTGTGCTTGCCCTTGTGTTTGGATTTCTTGTGTTTCTTTTTCTGCAAAAAGAATAACAAGAGTTGGAAAGGACCTTGGAGGTCTTCTAGTCCAACCCCCTGCCTAGGCAGGAAACTCTAAACTTCAGACAAATGGTTGTCCAATCTCTTCTTAAAAACATCCAACGTTGGAGCATTCACAACTTCTGGAGGCAAGTTGTTCCACTGATTAATTGTTCTAAATATCAGGAAATTTCTCCTTATTTCTAGGTTGTTTCTCTCCTTGATTCTTGTCCTGCTCTTCAGCTGTTTTGGAGAATAGCTCGTCTCTTTCTTCTTTGTGGCAGCCCCTGAGATATCGCAACACTGCTATCATGTCACCCCTAGTCCTTCTTTTCATCAGACTAGACATACCCAGTTCCAGCAACCATTCTTTATATGTTTAGCCTCCAGTCCCCTGATCATCTTTGCACTTTTTCAGCACCAGGGACCAGTTCCATGCAGAGGGTTTTTTCCATAGACCGGAGGCAGTGTAGTTTCACATGCTGCCTGCATCCCATAGTGCCTGTCCACAGATTGGGCACCCCTATTCTAAAGTCTCAACATCTTTTCAAGTAATGTTTAATATATTTTTATTCATTTATTATCCAAAGGTAGTTGGCCACCCATTTCATATATGTGACTCTAAACGAAGAAGGAGGGAATGCAAAATGGAGAGTAACTCCTTCTCTGCTGGGAAAACAAGCTTTATAGGAGAACCCAACCAGGATTTTGGGGAGAAAAAGTTAAAAATGAACATCAAAATTACCTTTTCCTTTTTGTGTTTGTGTTCTTTTCTCTTGTGTTTTTCTTTGATCTTTTGGGGCTTCTGTTCTGCAACCACTTCAGCTGTGCCTGAAACATTCATCAGAGACAGAAGAACCATGGAAGGAAGATGCACTGAAAGCTACACAGAAGCTGCTGAGTTATTATTTTAGATTCTTCGAGAATGGCATCTTTCTGAATTTCTTGATGCAAACCCCTGATCTATTTATACAAGCATTGGCTGCACTTTTAGTGAATGCTCAGGAACAACAAACAGACAGGAGATGGAAAGATTTAATGCTACCCGCTCTGGAGGAATGCTTGGTGGAGATGAACAGAATTTGCTGAAATGCATAAATTGATAGAGAATATTTGTAGCTCAGGGTTGAAATGAAGGGTACTTAGTGACTGATTATGTTACCTAGTTTGGGTAATGAAACGACTGCAGAAAATCAACCAAGCTCAGAGCACTGAAGACTCCTCATACTATAAATTGCTTAAATCGGTAATTGAAAAGATATCTATTATTTATTGGTGACTAGAAGCCTCTGATGGATTTTTTGTGTGAAAATGAAAAAAGTGAATGTGATGAATGGCTTTGATGATTAGACAGGATAATTATAGAAAAAAGAGAGTTACGATATAAATTTAGAGAAAGAGATGCATTTATAATTGTACATATGGGTGCTAAAAGATGGGAAGCCATTTTTAAATATATTTTTTCTCTTCTATTTTTCATCTTTTTTTTTTTTGCACTTTTGCTGATCTTTTTTCTTTCTTTCTTGTTTTTCTATTAGTTTTTATTGGCCTGAGTGTATCATCTGCACCTCTATAACTGTCCAGTTCGGTTCTGCAACCCAACAGGACAGACATAGACTTCAGAGGATAATTAGGACTGCAGAAAAAAACAATTACTACCAACCTGCCTTCAATCGAGAACTTATATACTGCACAAGACAAAAAGAGGGCTGTGAAAATATTTACAGACCTCTCACATCCTGGACATAAACTGTTTCAACTCCTATCCTCAAAACAACACTATAGAGAACTGCACACCAGAACAACTAGAGACAAGGACAGTTTTTCCCCCAATGCCATCACTCTGCTAAACAAATAATTCCCTCAACACTGTCCAACTATTTACAAAGTCTGTACTACTATTACTATTAATCTTATCATCACTCCTTATCACCCATCTCCTCCCTCTTGTGACTGTATGACGGTAACTTTGTTGCTTGTATCCTAACGATTTATATTGACTGTTTTCTAGTATGATTTGATTGCTTATTGTACCCTATGACTATCATTAAGTGTTGTACCTTATGATTCTTGACTCTTGATGAATGTATCTTTTCTTTTATGTACACTGAGATCATTTGCACCAAGACAAATTCCTTGTGTGCCCAATCACACTTGGCCAATAAAGAATTTTATTCTATTCTATTGAGCATGTTTTAGGGATCTGCCTTAATGAAATCAAGAATTTTAATAAAAAATTATACCCTATGTGATTAGTCTGCTTCTACAGTATTTCTGTACCCCATGGAACAAAAAAGATCAACAGCCAATAGATTCCTGCATGCAATACTTTTAAAATGGAAAGAGTTGATATATATATATATGAAAATAACATTTAATTAATGTCTTTACCAGAATAAGCAACAGGAGGCAATCTTGGTCCAAATTCTCCTTGATCAACTACTTCCTTTGAGGTTGGAGTTATAGTATCAAAAATCTCAGGTGTAACTTCAGTTTCTTTGAGGAAAAAAATAAATAAATATGGAGATCGTGTTTAAAAGCCAACATAACAAATCACTTTATAGAGCCCACTGACCTAATAGTCCATTTCCATCTTAAATGCTGACATACCACAAAGGCTGCTGTAAGTCAGGGTATATTTCTATGAACCTATTCCCACAACACATCAACTTTTCCTTATTAAAAATATCTCAGGTTTTTATCAACGATTTCATAAAACTGATCCAAACTTTTTTGGGGGAGAAGCTCCAACAATATCAAGCCACTGTGATGCAGCTGGAATGAGCATTGGGCTCCCCAATTCCCTCAAGAACTTCCATCAATGGCCTCTTTTGTGGCTATTACAAGCTGTAAAAGCAAACTGGTTGGTTGGGGGCAGATGGTCCTGGCTTAATGTCTACTCGGTCAGCAACCAAAGGGCACTGAATAAGGAGTTCTTATGAGGGGTTCTTGCAATCGCAACATTTGCAGTATCCCTGCAGTCACATGATCTCCGTTTGTGAGTTTTGGTGCTGCCTTCCAACAAGCAGCCAATGGGGAAGGCGGCAGGAGGCTGCAAATGGCGATCACATGACCACAGGACGCTGGGACTGCGGTGTCATGCCCGTTAGAATCTGATTCGGAGGAGGCCGAACAGCTGACAGGGAGTGGGAGTGTGGCTCCGTTGGCTGTGGAAGTAACTGGGGAAAGGCAGAGTCTGGCTGGGCAGTACAGAGGAGAGGTAGAGCAAGGGAGAGGGAGGAGGAGGATCCAGGTGGATCCAGGCCCACCCCCTCTTCATCCTAGGGCATGCAGGAAGGAACAGAGAAGGGAGCAACGTGGGTTGCATGGCTTACGGGGGAGGAAAGGGCTCTGATTCCCTTCATTAGCTGCAGCTGGGAACACAGTATTTAAAAGAGGAAGCTGCGCACACCAAGTTGTTGGGAGTAAACGTGAAATTATCTGGTCTTGTTGTGGCTTATCTGTGCTCCTGGCGTATTCCCAACTGTGTGAGTTTTGCTGCGCTTTCAAGTCTGCAATTGCTTCTCCTGCCCTGTCAAGTTAATGACTTCATCTTGGTTTGTTTGGATTTTAAGTTATAGTTTGGGTGTACCTTGTTTTGGACTGAATTTTCTACAGTTAAAGGCTGTTCCTGGGAGAGTTTTTCTCTAGCCGAGGGTAACCTGGACATTGGGGGCAAAGTTGGAGATAATAAAGGGGCTCTTATTGCTTATTTGACTGTGTTGCCTTTGTGCTACGCCGCAGGTCATCACATGCGGGATCCGCCTAAACAATGGCAACTGGGACTGCCGCTTCTTAGTCAGTGCAGTCACATGATGTCTGTCGGGTAAGCAGCCGGGCCTCAGGACCCCGGATCATGGCTCTGGTTGGAGCTTGGAATTTAGCAGAGTTGGTTTAATGTCAGGCTTCCAAGTAATAGATTCATAGCAAGCAAAACTCCAAGGCAGGTAGATTCCTCAAAGAATAGCTTCATTGGATATACCGTATTGGCACAGATCTGGTGAAAACCGCCTCTGAAGTTTCTGCAGTTTTCACCTAATTAAAAATAAACGCTTGCCGTTTTCTCAAAACAATCAGACACGTGGTCCAAACACGGCTCCATCTGGTGACCTCACTCCACCTTCCTCTGACCAGGGGGCGGGGGGGGGGGGGGAGCGAATGTCCGTGGTTCCCAAGGGAAAGTATTTTGTTTTGGCTACAAAAGTCCCAGCTCTCTATCTCAATTCCCGCCCACCCTATCCCTGAGCTCCGGTGTGGCAACGCCGAAGCTCCAAATGGCTTCAGTTAGGTCAGCTCCAGGGTTGACAACGTCCTCCTTACAACCATATTGTTCAACAACAGAGTTCCTGGTTCCAATTACTATCAGCAAAGCAGGGCGGCCTGCGGCACCCAGCTACAATGGCATAGTGCAGTGATGGCAAACCTTTTTGTTGTGGTGTGCCGAAAGCGCATGTGCGTGCCAGCACCCACCATGCAATGTGCCCTGCCCCCCCCCACGCATGCATGTGCAACACGCCCCCTGCCCCCTTACCTGCACTGCGCATGCGCGCGCCTCCCAGCTGATTTTTGGCCCGTTTGAGGCCTTTTTCACCCTCCTGGAGGCTCGAGGGAAGCCTCTGCAGCCTTTGGAAGTGCCAAAATGGGCCCGTTTTTCGGCCTCCAAAGGTCGCAGAGGCTTCCCTTCAGCCTCCGGGAGGGCGAAAATGGCCTCAAACGAGCCAAAAATCAGCTGGGAGGCCCGCGCGTGCGCAGTGCAATTAAGTTTGGCTGGGTCTCGTGTGTCCGCACAAATAGCTCTGCATGCCACCTGTGGCACGCCTGGCTTAGGTTTACCATCACGGGCATAGTGGCTTCCACCTGTTTATAGAGTGGAAATTCAAACTCTTTCGCTCGTTCAAATATGGTGGCCAGCGATGCTTGTCCTAAAGTGGCAGGGGTTATACGAAGCATTGCATATGAGAGGATTCGGCTGGTTTTTAATGAGGGTGGGGGAGAGAGAGAACATTTTGTCTGAACCAAGCCAGGAATAAATACCTTGAGCAACAGGTAATGGAACCCCAGGTGAGTCGCAAGGCTTTGGGTTTTTGGACTCTCCTTCCAGGGCTGTCGCAGCTGGCTCCTCTCCCTCACTCTCTTCTTCAGAAGAGGACGTATCGTCCGAGGAACTGGCAAAGATGGCTTTAAATAAATCCATGGATGGCCGGCTTTCTTCTTCCACGGCAGCTTCACTTGGGCCACTGGGTAGGCCTGATGGCTGAACCACAAAGGAAAAAGTGAAAAAAGAAACAATGCACCTCTCCGTCAAGTTAAGCCATAATCTGGAGCAAACTGTTGGAAGATTTCTCTTTCCACCTAAACTCTCTTGCAAAATAGCAAGAGAGTTTAGTTATCTGCACTTTACGCTGTAGGGTTGATTCTGGCCACTCCTAGTATGTATTTACACATACATACACAAACATCTTTTCTCTTGTATTTTATTTTAAGTAACTGCAGGTTCTGTATTCTATCTGCTGCTCTACGAGGGGATAAAGAGCGAATGATGATAAAACTCTTTCAAGTTTTATTATGTACCGTGGTTAACTAACCCATGGCCAGGTGGAATGAACAACACATTATACCATTTCATGCTTTTCAGAGAGTATGCAAAACAAAACTATGACAAATACACATTTCATTCATCCAGTTTCAACTTCAGGGCAAATTAAAACATGCATTCTGCACTTCCAAAATGTGGTTGTTTTAATTTTTACATGCAAAATGTGGCACCGAAGACATTTCTAATAATACATGTAAAATTAGTCCTGCACTACATCCCTCTAGTAAATGGTCACCTGAGTCTCCAGAGCTTCCATTTTGGAGAAATGCATGAGGATAGCTTGATCCCATTTCCTGAGAATATTGTAGCTACCAATTCGTTCATCCAAGTTCATCCTACATCCATTTGGTATATGCTTGAAAGTGCCCACTGTTCTGACCAAGGCTTCCTGAGACCGTAGTTAATCACATGCTGAGTCCAAACAACCCTCTTTTCCTTTCAACAGCTGTGAATTATGTTCATTCCCAGCCCATAACGAGTCCCAAACAGTCTCTCAAGATAAGTACCCATCTTTATCAACTTTGAATTGTTGCCAACAACCAAAGTGCCAAATTAACTGTAAAAAGCTAAACGGAGTACAAAGTCCACACAGAGCTTCAAAGTTTTATCTGAACAGAGCAAACAAAGCTGCTTCCTGTCCCTTTGTTCCTCCTTTATATCTTATGGGAGGGGCCAATCACCTCCAAACCTTACTCCCGAGTCGCCCCTTTTGTCTGAACTGTTCTTGCCTTCTGGCAGCTCTGTGCACACACGCACTGGGAACAGGCTCCCCTTGTTCCTCTGCCTCGCTGCTGTCAGATTCTGGAGGCTCCGGAGTCAGCACATAACTCTCATCTCTGTATCGGACGCAGGACCCTCGTCCGAGTCCTCCCCAGACTCCCGGACTGGCCCACGTTCCTCCCCACTGTCCGACTCTGCAGGCTGCCGACAGACCACAACAATAACAGAAGCACCAAAACCCCTCTACCTGAGTGGGAACAAGGTCACTAGTCCCGTGTTTGGCCTTCTCTTCAATTGCTTTGGGGAGTTGCTCCGGAACATCAATTTTTGATCGAGCCAAACTTATAAATTCACTGATGGTATCCTTCTTCTTCTCTTTGTCAGGCACATCCCATCTGGAAGACTTCTTTGGCTCTGAAAGAGATGAACACATTTCCAAGGGGTCATCACCCTTTCTTGATGAATTCGAGCAAGGTTTTTTTTTTTTCTTGTATACATCCAGTTTTAAGAAAAAACTGTCTTTGATCATTAAGAATTTTAAATGTCAACAAATGGGAACAAACGTCAACCTAGACACTCACGTACTTCTCCCAGTTAGCCTGGGATTCTGTGTCAGCCCCACAAATGGTTTTTACTCTTTTATTGTCCTCTACACTTTGACTGGCTAAGTTATCTATGATTCAGGTCTTGAAGAGATATTCATCTTCTTCTGATAAATTAAAAATCTTACTGTTAGGAACATTATCTTGTTGCACTCCTGTTTTCGTTGGTTGATTTCGTATCCCTGACGCGGACTCTGAAGCAACGGTCAAGAAGTTGAACACAGAATACTTATCACGTTTCACTGTCGGCAATCCAACAATACATGACCTGAAGAAAAATAAAAGCAGAGTGTTTATATATATATATATATATATCTTTTAATGAGCCTGCAAGCCCTTACATCATAGTGGAGTTGGAATGACTGAAGCTAGAGCATTTACTGGCCAGATTCCCTTCCTGACGCCTACATGGAGTTCACAGTATATGTTTTCTCTTTGCACCAAGAGAGAGAGAAGTATCTGCTGCTACCTAAGATCGAACCCACGGCCTCTTGATTGTGAGGTGAGAGCACCACCTCTAGGCCACTGTGCCGTTTTCAGAGTTTCTACATCTAACTTTGGGTAATCTTTCTGTTTCAGAAATATATGTGTTAAAATAGGTCACAAGTATAGAAATAAAACAGAATTTTAAAATTTACTCTTAAGGAATTATGGTGTATAAGTCAAAAATATAATTAAGAAACCAAGGTGGTCTACACCAGAGTTCCCAACCTGTTGTTCCGAAGTTTCTGAAAGCAAACACAGATAAACTCCAAAACTGAAAGTTCACGGCTTTATTCCACAAATAACCCTCTCTGTAGATAACAGATGGCTTGCAGCAAATTAGTCTAATAAATCAGAGTCTGTAATCATCACACTAACTTCTTCGAATTTCTGCCTTTTGCAAAGGCAAAAGCCATTGGAAACCAGGCTTATATTCCCTTGAGGGAGGGGCCATTAATTAGCATCTTACTCCCGAGTCGCCTGTGCTGCTCTTCCATGAATCATCCTGCTCTCACTCACACCCAGCAGAGGCTTCTCGGGAATGTCCTCCTGATTGCTGCCGGCGAACCACAACATTTGTGGGCCGCAGCCTTTTGGCTATGGGGCCATGTGGGTAGCTGGCTAGTGTGTGCCCCTGTGCACACACAGCTCCAGACGCACAGGCACTCGCAGCCCATTCCCATAAGTGTTGCAGACGCTCGTGGTCCTACTCACACGATCATTGTCATGGGGCGTTCATGGCTCCACTTGTGTGAGCAGCGGGTGTCCACGCATTTGCATGCCCCTCCCACAAAACCACCCCCTCATTCCCTCCCTCCCCCCACTCCGGGCCGCCAACCCAGAAAGGTTGGGGAACTCTGGTCTAAACAATAGTTATTAGATTTGACCACTTCTATTGGCCAACCATAAAGTTATCACCCCCAAAGTACTTGTTAGAAAATGCTAATGTACTCAACCAACTTACTCTGCATAGGGATCAGGAATATTAAACCTTTTGCACAAAAGCTTATCTGGGTGCCACTCAAATTTTTCCCTTGTCAGCTTTCCAAACATCTTCATCTTAGCAGCGGCTGCTTTGTCGTCAACGTTAGTCTAAAATAACAATGTGGTTCTCAGTTTGTTACAGCTATTATCGCACATGTATTTTGGCAATAACTAACGAGGATTAAGCATAAACTTTCTGATGGTCTTTTTTTTTAAAAAAAAATTGGCCTGGTTCGCATTTCCACTAAACTAATTTTCACCGTGGCTTTATTTAATATATAAACCACAAGCTGTGTTCAGATGGAATGAAACAAACTGCGTTATGGCTTAGCTACTGTATGTGTTGTGAGAACTCTTAGCATTTTGTTCGGAGATTATTTTGAAAGGAATTGGTGCTCTGAGGATTCCTGCAAATCAACCCGGTTCAACAGTTTCTGGATGAGTTTGGGACATACCTCTTCATCGCGAGGAACATCTACTTTATCAGTATCGTCCTCCAACTTTGCAGTAGTAAACCTTGAAGACAAAATCGAGCTGGAGGTTTTGTAGAATGCAGCAGCACGAGAGAATTCTTCCCGTTCTCTACCGCGCTCCCACTCTGTCATACTGGCATCTAGACAGCTTTCTGGCACATCTATTAGGACAAGAAAAATTTAAAAGTAAGCAAAAATGCAAAATCAATAATACTGGCTCAATAATGTTGAAGAGAAAAGAACGAAACAGTTTATAAGTGCACAGATTTCCAGCAAAAGTAAAGCCAAGCATGATAGAAAATAGTCTCAACCGAAGTATAAAAAAATCAAAGAGAATCTTCTAAAAAAAATTTATGGCCACCCACCTTAACTAAATAGCTCATTAAAAAAAAATTACACAATAGAAAAGTCAAAAGGAAAATCTTTAAAAAAAAACCTATGTCAAAGTACAGCCCAGTACACAAACATTTCTTGCTGATCTCCTAGCAAGCAGAATCATAAACCAGAGTTTGTTCTTGCCCTGTTATTTTGGTAGGCGCAAGCCATAATTCCTGCTTTGGATGTTCCATTAAACAAACCACGAACCAGGGTTTCCTGGTGTTTTTAGACTAGTATTTCTAGCAGATTATACATGAAAGAAATATTAACAGTGGAAGCAAGGATGTTTTAACATCCCTTACCAACCAGGATTTGAATCAATCGTAACAAACAACTATACAGAAATAATGAACAAGATTATACTTGATGTGCTGGCCACCAAAGATGACGTTTTAAAATGCTGGACATATTAAGCATTGGAATAAATGTCTGTCTCATGATGACAACTTATGCATTGCCCCCTTTGCTTCTTCAGATTTGGATGCTGCCTGCTTAAATTCTGTTTGCTGTAGAATACTTGAATTAAAATGAAAAAGTGCTAGATGAAGGGAGACAAGAGCTGGGAAAAAGTTTGCTACTTGCCTTTCTTCCCACATGCAAGATTTTCTAAGTAATGTTCATATCTCTTTTGCTTTTCTGGGTTGCTGGCAAACGGTTTGAAGTCGGTTGAGCCAGTTGTAGATAACTGCGACCCCAGCATCAATTGCCACTTACGTGGCACATCAGAGGCAGGAGGAGCGTGGGGTTTGTTATAGGGAGACTGTTGTGGCACGGTGTCAGCTTTCCGTTGTGGTTGTATTGCCTGTTTCACTTCTTGGATCCTTTCTTTGTCTTTATCTGACAAATATTCTAAAACAGAAGCGGTTGGGCCTAAACAAGAAGAGAAAAATCATGATACATAACTAACGTTTTTTTAGTTTAGTTCAGGACATAGTGGAATGAATGAATGAATGAATGAATGAATGAATGAATTCTTTATTGGCCACGTGTGATTAGACACACAAGGAATTTGTCTTTGGTGCAAATGCTCTCAGTGTACATAAAAAGAAAAGATACATTCTTCAGGAATCATCAGGTACAATACTTAATGATAGTCATAGGGTACAATAAGCAGTTGAATCATACTAGGAAACAGTCAATATAAATCGTAAGGATACAAGCAACAAAGTTACAGTTATACAGTCACAAGTGGGAGGAGATGGGTGAAAGGAAGGATGAGAAGATTAATAGTGGTAGTAATCAAGAACGTGTTGCCTTGTTTAAACAAAACATTTGCAAAAAGCCCCCATTTTCAATAAATTAGAAATATACATGTTTAAGGATATATTTCAATTTAGATAGAGAGAAATAGATGATTGATATAGATGATGGGTAGAGATAGATAGATAAGAGATACAGATCGAAGGATATAAATTTAAAAAGACCATCAAAAATGCCTACAAAAAAAATAAGTCAGAACAAAATGATTGCAGATTCCCGCCAGAGCAGTGCCCCACAACCTTTGGGGGCATGAGGGACAGGTTCCGTGGAGGGGGTTTTCCACGGACCGGAGGGGAGGGTGCATGGTTTCACACGTTGCCTACAAACCACCAAGGAAGCTTCGCTTATTTGCATAGCCCTGTTTCTGGCAAGCCACAGCCCGGTGATGATTCATGGCCTGGGGGAAGCGGAGGTTGGGACCCATGAGTTAGAGGGCACATGCATCGTGCAGAAAGTACTATCAGGATATTGGGATACCTTTCAGAGCGGTTTCGCCCAGCACTTCCCTTCTCTCGGAAGCGGTTTTCTGGTGTCTGCTCTGGATTGCTGTGTCGCTCAGAAGCTTCCCTGTGGATTCTGCCAAGGCTTGTAGTAAGTGGGAGTTTTCAGCGGTAGCTTTTATCACAGGTCGGAAGTAATGGATTGGTCTGTAGTCTCTGGGCAGGTCTGGTGGAGGGTAAGTCTTTAGGGGGAAAAAAAACCAAGAGAAGACAAAACGTTGGTCTTGCTTGCAGACAAGCGAGTCATTACATGCTGGACATTGGGGAATACACAAAATTAAATCTGAACTCAAGTGTGTAAACCAGTGTTTTTCAACCGGTTTTTCAGCTTGAAGATGATGTGTGGACTTCAACTCCCAGAATTCCCCAGCTGGCAAAGAATTCTACAAGTCCACACATCATCTTTAAGTTGCCAAGGTTGACAAAGACTGATATAAACCAATAACAATGGCATTAAAAAAATTATTTTAAAATATCGGGACTATTTGTTGCAGAAGTCTAGCAGCTATCAACCTTGAAATCCAATCACCTCATAACACCAGTTGTTTCCCGTTGCCCCCAATACATGCACTGTTGTGGTTTGTTGTTTTTTACTATTTTGCCAATCTTATCAAAAGTATCCTACTCTTATGCATTGTAAAATGATTGCCACAGCAGATTCTTTATTAGCAAAACACGGCAGAGGGCAGATTTGATTTGAAAAAAAAAAAAATCCCTCGATATTCCAAAGATCAGGTTTAGGGCAGTGAAAGTTGATTATTCTCCCTTGTTGCCTTTTGGAATAGAATAAAAACAAGACAGTAGCAACAAAACATGTCATGTGTTATTAAAAAAAATCTACAATGTTTCCAATGATAAAGCAGATTGAAGAATCGATTTTATACACTTGGAGGTCTTGTGGTGAATCCAGTGTATCTTCATACATGTACAGGCAGATATTGTTCTGACCAAGGCTTCCAAGACCGTAATTATGCACATGCTTATTTTAAAAACAAGTCTTGTTTTATTGCAACGCTGGGAATTATTTGCATTCCCAGCCAGTAATGAATCTCAAACAGTCCCTCGAGATAAGCACCCACCTTGCTTTCCTGTGAAGTGCTGCCAATAACAGAAGTGTCAAATGAACTAGACAAAAAACCAACTGAAGTACAAAGAGCTTCAAGAATGAATCTGAACCGAACGAATGACTTTGCTTCCTGCAAAGGTTTCATCATCTTGGCCTGACTTTTATACTTTAGGGGAGGGGCAATCACCTCCCAGCCTTGCTCCCGAGTCACCCCTTTTGTTTCAGCTGCTCTCGCCTTCTAGCAGCTCTACACACATGTGCACTGCGAACAGGCTCCCCTGGGTCCTCTGCCTCGCTGCTGCCAGACTCCGAAGGCTCCGGAGTCATTACCCTACTCCCAGATGGTCCTGGCCACATCTCTGCATCGGACGCAGGACCCTCGTCCAAGTCCTCTCCAGACTCCCTGACTGATCCCCTTTCTTTCCCACTGTCGTCTGCACAGACTGCCGGCGAACCACACCAGAGATATTGGCAAAAAGGAAAGCTAACTAACCTTGGCAGGAGTTATCGATTTAGAAGCCAAGTAGAAGCCATCCAAAATTTTCCCGAGGTACTTCTTTTCTTTCTCTCTTCCTATAAAATAATCGACAAATTCATTAGCCCTTTCAAAATAAACCAATAGGGGAGCACTTCCTAAAAGGCCTCAACCAATGACAAAATATTCAGAGGCTTCCAGACCTGGTTTGCTTTTATAAGGATGGGGGGCTGTCCAACCATATAACCCGTCTCCTGGCTCTTCGTCTTTCAAAACGCTGTCATACTTGGAAAGGGATTCGACTGTATAAATATCTTCATCTTCCTCTTCCAAAGCACCAACCCCAAAGGCCTAAAAGAAGAAGCATAGCATTAGAGTTAGATGTTGCCTTCACTATTTTAAATAGCCTGATAACTGCACAGGCAGTCCTCGATTTACAAACAGTGCATTTAGTGACCGTTCAAAGTTGCGGGGGCGCTCAGAAAAGGGACTTATGGCCATTTTTCAGACTTACGACCATCGTGGCATTCCCCCCAAGTGATTGGAATTCAGGCATCTGGCCACTGACTCCTATTTATGATGGTTGCAGCGCCCTTCCGACAAGCAAAGTCTTGGTGGCGCAGTGGTTAGAGTGCAGTACTGCAGGCTGCTTCTGCTGATTGCTGGCTGCCTGCCTGCAATTTGGCAGTTCGAATCCCACCAGGCTCAAGGTGAACTCAGTCTTCTGGTCTTTCCGAGGTGGATAAAATGAGGACTCAGATTGTTGGGGGCAAGAGGCTGACTCTGTAAACCACTTAGAGAGGGCTGCAAAGCACTATAAGGTGGTATATAAGTCTAAGTGCTATTGCTAAAGTCAACGGGGAAGCCAGGTTCACATACTCACCGTGTTACTGACTTAACGACTGCAGTGGTTCGCTTTAACAAGTGTGGTGAGGAAGGCCGTAAAATGGAGCAAAACTCAGCTAACAACTGTCTTTCTGCTTAGCAACGGAAATGCTGCTTGTGGTCGTACCTTGAGGGCTACCTATCTCTGTTTTCAGGTGGAATGAGGAAAAAGGGGCCACTTGCTTGAACTGGCTGTAACAAAGGAGTTCCCAACTTGCCATTCCCCATAGCAGACTGTACTTATACGTGAATAAATCATAACTGTTCTGAAGTATATATTACACCAGTGTGTCAGCTTTGAAATTCAGCTGCCACATTTTTTTTTAGAGAGTTAGAGGAGTTGAAAAGTTCAAGGTTATTCTGTATGTCGTATTAAGAATTTCCAGTTGCAGTTAATTGGTTCTCGTGATTTATGAAGTGTAGAAGTGGGAGGAGAGAAGGTGGATTCTGTGTAATGCGGGGAAAAACTTTCACTTGGGAAATTGCTTTTGACATGCCAGATCTGTTTCTAATAAATCAACTGGAGAGATAACATCTCGGGGTGATGGATATCATGGATACTTTCTGGATGCCTTACACAGTGAAGGTGAACTCTTTGGGCCCCTGAGTGCCCAAAGGGTGTGCACGTGCACAAACATACATACCCAAAATGCAAGGTGTGCCCCCCACATGCCCCCCAATGCATGCACACCCCGCCCCCATGCCCCGCCCCTGCATATGCACACCCCACACGCATGCTCAACAGAGACCCAAAGGCCAGCTGGCTGGCAGGAGGCACACACATACATGCATGGCGGAGCTAAGCTGGGGAGATGTGTGCCCACAGAGGGGGGTCCGGGTGCCGCCATCACGGTTTTTTACATTTCACCTGCTCTTTTCTCAAAGCCTAGTCCAAAATTTTAACCTGCATCGTATTTTACCTGTCCTGAAATGCCCAGTTTCCGTCCTTTACCATGCCGTACATCCCCAAGATGACTCAAATTTCCAGGGCCGAGGCTGAAAAGATTGAAAGGTTCTTCTGAAGTGCCAAATAAAGCTTTGTTGGGATCCAGCCCTTTGTAACCCAGGCCATGGAGGTTTTCTTTCGGAGTCAGATCTACCGGCATCACATCTTTGGGGGCAAAGGTCACATTTTCCGGCTGGTATTCATCCTCTTCTTCCTTTATAAAATAAAATATAGGTTATTTTTTTGTAAGTTGGCCAATTTTTTAAGCCCTGGCTTCTTTTCTCCCTGGAAATTCTTTGAAGCGGCCTGTGTTGGTAATTCTAAGCAGCAGCAATCCGTGGACTTTTACTATGTCTAAGGTTTGCTTCAGCGATTCATGAGGTTGTTTCAGATTCTAACAAAAGAATAGTTAAAATGGAGAACATCACAGAGTTCTAGTCTCCTACGCTTTCTGCTTCCATCATAGAGCAGCATTTTAGAGGTAGTCCTTGATTAGTGACTGGGATTGGTTCCGACAAAATAGTCATTAAGAAAATCGGGTCAGCATGAAATCGCTGGTTGGTGCCATTTCATTCTGACAATGTTCTCTTCTATCGTATCCTGTGCCTGACTCAGTGTTTTTCTTTTTTTTTTTTCGCCTCCTTGCAGGGCAGAGAGACTGCCTAAACAAGCTATCTCTTTCTGAGCTGTTTTTCTAATGCGGTACTTCCTTACAAAGTGCGAAATGCCTTAATAAGTTCAGCCCAGTAACCAGCTCTGCCTGAAACTGACCAGACAGCAATCAGTTTCCCACTGAAGGTTTTGTTGTTGTTGTTTTTAGGTATTTTGGTCCCAAAATTATTTTTTCATCACTGTTGTATTTCCCATTGTTACTAATGGCAGCAATTAGTAATCAAGAACTATTGTTTTTACTCCTTGCCACTTCATTTATATAGTCATTGTCTGCATGTAAATAATTTACATGAAAACTATCCAGGGCACGGAACTGTTTATATGAAAAGCTTTCATGATGTTACAAGATGCCTTTTCTGCAAAGACAAGGGCCAATGTTTCTTCACTTATTGAAAATTACAAGGCATTAAGATGTTAAAAGAATTATTGTAATACTCCTTATTGTAACCGCAAAGAGTTGGTATTTATTGAATCATTCCAATTCCGTATTTTTTTTAAAAAAGTTAAAATTTCCAACAAATGCTGTACAATTACCTCTGAATCTTCAGATCCCGGAGGCAAAGCGCAGCCATATATTTTTACTCCAGGCTCTGTAACCAAACAGTGACAATCACGGTTAAAATGCTATATTTTTTCATTACTTTTACTGAAGTAAGAAACAAGTTATGCTGCTACAATCTCACTAAATTCAAAGTAATTTAAATTACTCCAGTATACGAGTAATGAATTATGCAATAGCAAACGTTATACTATATACTAACCAGTTATATATATAAAAATAGATCAAAACTGATATATTAAGGCAGCCATATCTTAAACGTTATACTATATACTAACCAGTTATATATATAAAAATAGATCAAAACTGATATATTAAGGCAGCCATATCTTAAATATGAAGATAGGAACAAGTTATTTTGCAATATTGTGCTTCTCCCCTTATAGCACAAGCAAACAGATTAGGAAATCTTTTAAGAACTCTGATTTCATATTTTGCCCAAACCAGAAAACAATATTTATCTGTTTTGAAACAAGTCAGAATATTGTATAATTACAAACAATGGTTCCCACATTCTGACTTAGGTCAAAATCACAGTGTTTTCCTAATTTGGACAAAAATGGGAAAATACGATTGGGTCGTTCCTGCTTTGCTTGTTTGTACTTCAAGGTGAGAAGCAAAGGCCTTATTAAGCAGGGACATAATTACCTGAACTAGATAATTCATTTTATTCTGATCTTGTTGCAAAACAATAGATTCAGGGGAATGTACCAGGTTTTTGCTTCCGTGGCTTCCTCTTTACTCGGGGCCCAACACCTTGTCCTTCTTTCCAGCCCATTTTTCGCAACAAGTCAATCCCAATTGTTATTCTGGAAAAAAAAAAGAAACGGATAAACAAGTTATAACCACAGGTAATCCTCGACTTATGACCACAATGGAAACCAAAATTTATGTTGCTAAATGAGACATTTCTTAAGTGAGTTTTACGACCTCTCTTGTCCCAGTTGTGAAGTGGAGCATTGCAGTTAAGTTAGTAATCCAGTTGTTAAGTGAATTTGGCTTCCCCATTGATTTTGCTTGTCAGAAAGTCGTAAAAGGTGATCACACCATCACTGCAATCGTCATAAATATGAACTAACTAGAATCCAACTAGAACCCTAAACAAATGCACTCAAACAATAGTAGAAACAGAAACTAGATGCAGACTCATCCCTCTGAGATTTGACAGGTCTTGTCTCTCTTGGCCTTTTGTAAGGCCTTGAAATTTTAACTGTTGTGCCTGATCCTGGGAGTAGGATATATAGCCCATCTTCTGGTTATGGGGATGATTGGTTAGATTAATGTGCTGGCTGGGGAATTCTAGAAGTTGATGTCCATGCATCTTAATGCGAAGAACCATGGTGGCACAGTGGTTAGAGTGCAGTACTGCAGGCTGCTTCTGCTGACTTCCAGCTGTCTGCAATTTGGCAGTTCAAATCCCACCAGCCTCAAGGTTGACTTAGCCTTCCATCCTTCCAAGGTGGGTAAAATGAGGACCCAAATTGTTGGGGGCAATAGGCTGACTTTGTAAACTGCTTCAAGAGGGCTGTAAAGCACTGTAAAGTGATATGTAAGACTAAGGGTTATTGCTATTAACATTGCCACGTTCAGAAATGTTGAATTAGATTATGCCCAGCTCCTATGTGTTTTACTTATTTTTTTTTTACATTATACATTTTACGTATTTGATTGTCTAAAGCCACCTAGAGTCAGGCAAAAGGGAGATGGGCAGTTATACAAATAAAATAAATGAATTCTGTAACAGTGCTAGATTTAGCATCAGGAACGCTTGTTTATGGAGGAAGAAGAAATCCTGCCTGTTTACTTCTGGCAAAAATGACTCAGAGTCCTTCAGGTGTTCCAGAAATCAAACATATAACATATGCAATTATCCACAAGTAGCAGGTTATTTTTCAATACTTACTTTGCAGGTGTGATGAATTCATCCAATACTGTAGCTCCAGGGATAGGTGCAACTATTCCTGCTAGCTGTCTGGCTTTCTCCTGGATTTTGTCTTTGCTTTGGGAAGCAAATGCATCCGTGATTGTAATTTCCTTTGGTGCAATGCCATGTTCACCAAGATCCTTCCAGGGAAAATAAAATTATTATTATTATTATTTGGGGGGGGAGGGTCAGAATATTTTCTTTCCAAGTCCACAAATTTGAACAGTAACTTTGAAACAAAACAACAAGAGGTGCACTTCCTTTGTACAAAAATCGCTGCTCTTTATTTAAACAAAGCTATTTAATCATGTCTGTTAACCATGCAGTAAAAGATTGTGTACAAAAAAACCCCAGGCTTATATTTATCATTTACATGGCTATCCATCTCACCGAAGTGACTTTGGATGATGTGCAACTATATACATAACAATATTTATATACCTATGTACCACATAGATATCATATATAAATAGAAGTCTGGAATTATATAAATGCAATAATCTCCATCATCTTACTTCTTCATCCATAAAATCTTCTGGCTCGAGAACTTTCGTTTCTGCTCTGTTTTGGCGAGATGACACAAAGGCTGATGGTGCCCATCCTTGGAAGACAAAGCATTGTTATAAGATGTGGGTTTATAGCAGTATTGAGAAAGACTGAATTTCCAATTAAAACTGCAATTACTATACCCACTCACTCTGGACTTCTTTCACTGACTTACTATAACTAAATAACTGACTATGTCTGAGTGAACATTTGTGTAGAACTGTGTTGGACATTATACAAACTGCATGACAAGTGATTTTGCATATGATTTCCTAGCTTAAGGCAATACACTGTGATCATTTTAATTTTTAAAGTGTTTACTTGATCGTCTTGTCCCTTTTGCTAGGCTCAAGCATAGCACTAAGACACTTTGTTTTTATCACATTTGCTGAACATGCCAGTCAGCTGGGATCCCAAATAAACAGCACTGACAAGCCATAAACTGTCAGCAAAGTTCACACAGACTCACAAAGCATGCAAAGTTTAACATGAAAGTACTGCATTATGAATCAGCACAATGTGTGTCTATCTCTAGTAGTCTCTGTTTGACAGTCTACTTTATACAGTTTAAACTATTATTAAATTATATAAATAAGATGCATTCCCGTGATCCAGCACTTTCACAATTGTTTAGAAGCCGCAACAGAGTCACCGTATAAATTGAGCCATGTAACTTCACACAGTGTGTACAACTAACCAAGATGTTACCATCTTGGACACTTTTTAAAAAAATAATCCAACTCAGTCCAGCTTTATGCCAAGAGGAACCAAATAAGTTTCAGACATAGATCTTTACTAACCTTCTTTGGATCCGACAGTGTTAAAATAGCCAGCTGAGAAACCACCACTGAACGCACCATGAAATCGTTTATACCGCCCCTTCTCATCTTTGACCGTCTGGTCTTGGAGAGGAACTGGCTTCTTAATGCGCTCACCTGGAAGGAAGGAAGGAAGGAAGGAAGGAAGGAAGGAAGGAAGGAAGG